GCCGTCTCTATCCCATTTAATTTGAGAAATGCCGTAATATTCTGATAATGGTTTTTCACAGGCTTGAAATCGATATGAATCCGTAATTTTATTATACGGAATAATACCTAACGGCTCAATTATTTTTGCAAGAATATTTCCTTTAATTCTTCTAAAATCAATATGCTCTATAACTGGATTTATAGCATCGACAATCGATGTGCTTGGTTTTTTTTCCATTAAACCATTATCATTAATATCTTTAAACGACGATCCCTTTATTTCATTCCATGGTAGCAATCTTTTTTCTATTATAGAAAATGCTTCTTGTGATACTTCTTTGGCAGCTGACAGAATTGTAAATCGTAAAACGGAATACTCGCTAGATTTAAACATTCTCCTTTCATCCCTCTTTGATAATAAGCATTGCAACCCTTGAAGTGACAATCTACTAAATTCAATAGAGTCTAAAGGAACTTTAGCCACTAAATCTACTAAATAATCAATGACACCATTATCAGCTGAGGGGGACATTAACCGAACTGCCCTGGATAATAATTCGGGTGATTTATTTCCATATTCCTCTTTCCCACATATTTTTTTATAATATTTTGAAATCAGGTCTTGAAGATTTTCTAATTTAAAGAAACATGCTGCATGCATAATTTCAAAAGCATTATCGGCCGTAACGTCTCTCTCTAAAACTGTGCCTGTATACAAATATTCAAGAACAATTTTCATAGATGATTTTTCAATCTCTGAAAACAAAACTTGCTTTTCAGAAACTTCTGTTCCTGTAAAAAGTATTTTATCGAACATTTCGGAACGAGCGGCAAGAATTGCACGGTTACCATAGAGAACTGAATTGTCCTTGCACCTGATTTCTAAATCACTATATTGACGATTATTAACTAAAAACCTTAAGTCATCAATAAGAGAGTTTCCGCGCGCCATTATAATTTCAAGAGTGACAACCGATACAGCAACTGCCTACGTGTGAATTTTTATACTAATACGGATTTCTTTAATTCTATATTTGGTATTAGCCTAACATATCTAAATATAACAGGTTTTATTATTTACCGTAGCAGGAAAAA